AAAAGTATAGTGTATGCTCGGTTTGGGGTCCAGATTGCTAAGGCCGCTGGACTACCCGCGGACATTAACGACCAAATCCTACTCGCGGAATGTTCATCCAATGAATAACGAGTTCGCCGTTGACTAATCAGATTGGACTTCGTATTAGCCGAAACTACTGAGCGGACGACTTTTGGCCAACACTCGGCGTGGTTTATCAGACGTCTCAAAAATGGCTTTACATGTCCCAAAAGTACAAAACTATGCTTCAATGTTGAAAGAGGGCACGAAGGTAGATCAACATATGCGCTTTTCCTAAATATATCCCTAGCACTATGAAGGCCTCGAAGAAGCAGTTTTTCGAAACATCGAGGCTTGCATTGCTATTGCCAGAACTACTCGTTCTACCTATGGTCCGAGTGGCCAGAACAAGATTGTTATAAATCATATAGGAAAACAATTTGTCACAAACGATGCGGCGACAATTCTTCGTGAGCTGGAAGTCCAACACCCAGCGGCAAAAATGTTGATATTGGCAACGCAACAACAAGAGCAGGAAGCTGGTGACGGCACAAATGTCGTCTTTCAGCTGGCAGGTGCGCTTCTGGATAATGCGCGGGACTTGCTTAAAATGGTAGTTTGAAATCAAGTGATTCACTCTTGTAGGGTCTCTCCGTATCTCAGATAATTGAGGGCTACGAAATGGCTTCGAAGAAGGCACTGGAGTTTCTCGATGGTATTATGCTATTCTATTCTAATTTTCTTAGAAATCGTTGTGAAGGAAATCAAAAACGTGAAAGACAAATCCGAAGTTGCGCCTCTGATTAAAACGGCCATCATGAGCAAACAAATTGACATCAGTGCATTTTTATCTGACCTTATTGCGTCCGCCTGCAGTATGTTCCCTTGTTTTTTACTGTTCTTTTAGTTTCGATCATGCCGGATGACGGAGGCTTCAATGTGGACAACGTCCGTGTTCTCAAAGTCTTAGTACGTCAATTTGCCTTTAATGCGCGTCATCATATCAATATCTTTAATTTAGTTACCGATTCGCGCATTCTGTGCGCACACACTGGCAGAAATTTTACGTGACTGAATCTTTTGACTATTTTTACAGGGTTCTGGCGTCGACAGCTCTTCTCTGGTCAGGGGCATGGTTTTCCGAAGAGATGTTGAAGGTGACGTTAAGGAAGTTAATAAGTCGAAAATTGCTATCTTTTCGTGTCCCCTGGAAGCACTCCAAACAGAGACAAAGGGCACTGTACTCCTCCACACGGCTGAAGAGCTCAAACAATTTTCCGAGGGTGAGGAGAACCAAATGGAAAAAGTGAGCCCTAACTCAGTGGTTCAATACCTTCTGTTCATTCTGACTAGGAAATGTCATTTTGTGTCCACACTGATCGTAATTCTTACCTTTTTTAAAAACTTCAACCGCTGACTTCGAGTTAGTTTTTTTAGGCACGCAGTTTACCTCAGATTATTAT